AACTGTGTTTTAAAACTGTTTTCAAGATTTGTTACGCGATTCTTGTCATTAAAATAGATAATTACATAATTGTTTGATTAAAATCCAAACCTTACGTCTGAATCGCACCGACAGCTAAAACACTGCATTATAAACACCATTTCCCCGGAATTACAGAATATTCTTGTCATTTATGCCACGAATTCCGCAATCAGTGTAATTGTGAAACACATATTACGGGCCAACTCGCTGTGTATAGCAACTGATAATTAGCAACAAATTTCTAACTGTTTTTTTCGGATACTATAGTCGACTCATTAAACCAAATATTTGGAGTAACCTTCAACGTGTGCATGATACAATTAAAAATAAGTTTATATATGAGAGCCCACATCCAAGAACCTGACTTAATTTTAAAATAGGCTTAAATATAAAGGTACTAATACTATGCAGTATAGGTAGCAGTATATTTGGTACTATTTGAGATATGCTCACAAAAATATTAAGTCAGGTTCTTGGATGTGGGCTCTCATATACTAATAATGTCGCATACAGTGCCAAAAAATGAGAGAGATAAAAATAGGTTATCAAAAAATCTTAATTCACAAACACAGATATCATATGATATGTAAAAAACAAAAGGCAAAACTACCCTGACATCGATCCCTGTCCCCTAATCACCGCCAATTAGACGTATCGATAATTGGGTGCACCATGTAATTGGATGTAATCAGGAATCCCTGTCCATTCGCACACTTCCTATCACCTAAAAAATGCATTAAACAAAAACATATTGAAAAATATTCTCCAGAATATTCTTTAACCCAAATTATTATTAATGTATTTTGAATCCGAAACATAAGTCTTTCGCTATTAAAGCCAATAATATCGCAAAAGTTAGCAAAAAATATTTTTTGCCGTTAGTAATGACTTTTCCTTAGACTCACAGAATATTCTGTATATATTCTGTACATAACGCTAATTGTGATGCCATTGCGACTCCGATTTTGCTTTATTTTGCTGTTTTTCGGGCCAAACATTTGGATTAATGAACGCATTAATTAAATCCGAAGATTACATAAGTTATACCAAATCTATATTAAGTCGGACACTAATTGTTTATTTAATTTAAGCGTGCTAGATTAGTGTATAAATCAATTGCCCAGCGACAACTGACAAAAACATTAATATTAGCGAATTAATCAAATCAAATACGAAAGTCTCGTATTTTGTTTTTTGTGTTTAAAAAACAAAAGTCAAACGAAACACAAAAAAAGGCACAAAAATCAAACCCAAATCCATTGTCTACTATACATATGTAGTGCCAGTAAAACAAAAGTATACTTAAACTCTGCTTTCATACCAGTATATACTATACTGTATACTATACATTAATGTTAATTACTATTAATATTACTGTCATTAGATTTACTATATTACTAAAAATAGCACTAATAATACTGACATGTATTCTCTCATTGGGGAACAGGAGGTCTGTTCGAGTCGGGCGATGAGGAACTGGTGGACGCATTCAAACAGGCAGTGGATCGGGTGAACAACGACCGGACAGTGTTAGCCCGGAGTAAACTGGTCGCCCGGATCGAGACAATCAAACCGCACGACAGCTTTCATGCCTCCAAACTCAGTGAGTATTACATGTTATATATCGATATACTGTATATCATACCAGTCCCCGTATACTACCAGCCCCTTAAGCATTACGTTCCACTCTATTGCCGATCAATTGATTAATCGCTAACCAATACCTCATATATGCTTATAATGTCTTTATGTTAACGACATTTTTATCTTTGACTAGACTTAGCATTAAATCGCTAGAGAGAGAGAGAGAGAGAGAGAGAGAGAGAGCACTCGTAACTCATCCGTCAGTTTTCCTCTTTTGCTAATATTTTTGCACAAAACAGAAGGAAAGGGAAAAACTATTTTAAATAGCATTGCAATAGCAGTGCATAAATGAAATCAAAATCATTAAACTTGTTTTGATGACTGAATAGTATTTGTGTCTCAATTCAGTACCAAAACTATTCTTGAATTTTGTATTTACGATGAGTTGTCGTCGACGTCTCTCTCTCTCTCTCTTCTCTCTCTCTTTCTCTCTCTCTCTCTCTCTCTCTCTCCACTCGTATTTCAGATGAAAAGATTTGTTCAAATGTTTTTAATATCAAAGTTCATGAATGAATGAATGAATCGATGATTTCGAGTACTTTATGATAGGGAATAATCTTATGAATATCGATCCCATGGTTTGCTTTTGATGTTTGTTTTTGTGAATAATTTATTCAATAAATAGAAACGAATTGAGAGTAAGAGTGGAGAGAAAAGTCATTGGATATGGCTTTTGACGAGTGAATCAATTAAATAAGAGATTTTCATCCCAAATACCCGGCCTATTGTACTGTACGACTGTTTTATATGCAAATGCAATACCCTTTACATAAACAAAATGCTTGTAACTAAATATATTTATAAATCAAAGCATGTTTTACTATTTGATAGTAAAGTATATGTCATTTGTTTTACGCGATGACCAGAATATGCACAGAATATTCCCGGGAAAACAATCGCCAAATTGGATTTGCTTTGTATTTGTTTTATACCTTTTTATTCAAAAATCTTTTCTACAATAGATATAATATTTTTGTTGTTCACTGAAAGTCGTCGACTAAAATAGACGTATAAAACAAATTATACTTTCCTTACTATGTTTTCTCGAGAAATAGGTTAGAAATGAGAGGATTTAGGGGAGAGAGAGAGAGAGAGAGAGAGAGACTGCGAGAGAGCATAAGAGAGAGCTACTAGAGAGAGAGATGTGACACAGCATTATGCGGTCGTATTATTTTTATCACAAATATTACATTATATTATGTTTTTGCGCGCAATGAATGGCACATATAAATAGGAAAAATAGAAAAATAGTTTGGATTTCATCCAAAAGCAACATTTGATGGGGAAATATATAGTATTTATATATTGGGCAACAAAAACACTTGAAAAACACAGTGTTTTTCGGGTTAAGTCTTAGGCAGCGATTCTCTTCATTAATAATAAAGTCATTATATTTTATTAGATTCACAATCGGTTTAAGACTACACACACAGACTCAGCCCTTATTGACGCCATTCCGGGCCTTTGACTCAAATTAAATACTAAATCTGTTTCCCTATGAAAAATATATCGCAAACTTTTGCTACATCTCTCTCTCTCTCTCTTTCTCCCTCCCTCCCTCTCTCTCTCTCTCGCCCTCCGATAAACACAACTGCTTTAGTAATGAGTCGTTAACTCCGCGATTGTATAATTAAATTCAAAATACAAATTCAATTATTTCATTATATTCACGCCAAATGGATACAGAATTCATGAATTCATGCGCTTATTGCGAGAATATTCTGTAGATTCATGAGATATATGACTCAAGTATTGGATTTCAATTCGTACGATGAATGTCTGATTATTGTCTTTTGTTTTTTCCTCATGTGATAAATGGTTGCACGAAATCCGTCGCCAATATAGCCATCGATATATTGTAGAGATTGTGGTAATACTACTCAACACTTATACACTCTATACGAGAGACTAACTATTGTTATACTCGAGTAGAGAGAGAGAGAGAGAGAGAGAGAGAGAGAGAGAGAGATTCCTAGTGTCGAAAGGAATATACAGAATATTCTCGACTCCCAGTCTCTCGACACTGTTATGGCAAACATGAAAGTCAGTGAAAAACTACTTCGAGAGACATGTATATTATGTAAAGTTTTATATATTATTTTAAAAAGTTTTGTGTTTGTAATGCTCTAAATAACACATTAGTCGAGTCGATAAGCCCCACATATTTGACATCACATTTTGTGTGATCGAAAGGGGAACTGGAGTTTAAAATCTCGGTTTTTCACAAAATGATTTACATTTGCTTTCAGACACCAAGTCTTTAACTAAAACTTATTACCCTTAAGACCGCGACTTTTAATATGATATATAAAAATACCATTCATAGTGAATATAATAATTTTGAAACCAAAATATTTATCATAAGTTTCTCAACAGAAAGTACAAAAATCCTTAACATTAGCTACACATTAATCGGAATAAATGGCAACAAAATGCCAAAAATACTGCACAATAGGGCCGAGCGAGTGAATGCATGGTTAATGAAATATAAGTCAAAAACACTTATGATGTATAAGTATAGAGAATTTATGTTATATAATAAGAATTTAATATAATTTTCATATTAAATATAATACAGAAAATATATAACAAATTCTTATTCTGTGCGCATAAAATCCTATTAATATTTAATATCATTTAAATAGCAAAAAATCATTTTCACTATAACTATGGCTTTATATTTAAAAACTTTTCAATCAGACTTACATTATAATATTCACATCAAATAATATTACTATTAATACTTTATATTTATACTACCAGTGCTACTACTGTTTACACATAATAAGAAATTATAAAAAACATTTCACTTATAATCATAAAAAAGGTTACACATGCATGTTATGGTTTATTTACATTGCGAAATTGTATTCATTTCTACATAAATATAAACTGCAAAAAATTGATGAAAATAAATGGAGTCTTGTTTTCAACACCGAAATGGCTTTTGAATAATAAAACACCGAAAGACTAGACATTGAATGCCATAGCGTTTGGTAGCAGACTGTCGACCAGTAAAACACAATTTTCTGTTATCTATTCGCTTGGCTTTGGGTTTAATACGAAAATTAAAACTCGAAAAATAAAAACACGAAAAATAAGTATAAAAATCAAAAGTTTAAGAATTATATCCTAAATCCAGACTCTATTGTATTAATAATGAGTATATATTATATCACATTATAGCGCAGTATATAAGCGTTTGTTTTTGAAGTAAATGCACAAAAATGTGACTTAAATTAGTCTATTGTCTCGATTTTAGAGACACATACAACTCGTAGTATATATTCTTGTAATTGTTTTGGCAATTAATTACATAAGAAAACACTATTGCAATGGATATGCATCGCAAGCATCGGAGCGCGGAATTCATGAATATTCTGCATATTCTTCACCGAAAAGTCTCTCAAAAACAAAACTTAAAACTAAAAATAAAAGTCAAACACAAAAGCGAGCGAAAAGTCAAAGAAAATGTTTTTAAAAACACCAAAATTTCTGCTTATATTTGGCAAACACTGTATATTTCGCTAGCATTTTAATACTAATAGGTTTTTGTTTCACTCGGAAAGCCATTCATTGCCAGTTATATCTCCAAAGATTAAGGGAAAACCATTTAAATCTTGAGAAAAATTATTATTATTATATTCCCCACACTTTCTCTCTCTCTCTCTCTCTCTCTCTCTCTCTCTCTCTCTCTGCAACATAAATGTTAGTTACAGTCAAATCGATCGTTTCAATTAAATTACACACATATCTCATCCTAAATATATATTTTTAAAACACTGTGTTTTGTAAGCATTTTTGCGCAAATAATTCAAAACACAATATATTTGGAGTATTTTGAACTCAAAAACATTAATATTATGATTATTATTTGAAATTGTTTCAACAAAAATACAATAGAGACACGAATTGATAATAACATTAATATAGCAAATAGTACGCTATATGAATGGTAAAGGGGAATGGGAGCTCAAGATTTATTATAACCAAAAATTAATTTATTACAAATATATATATTTCTCGATTCCTTTGTTATATAAGTTTATCACACATTTTGATGTTTGTGTTAAAAAGCACATATCATTTAGTTTTATTTAAATTTTTTCATTTTAAACACAACACAAATTATTCAAAAACTCAAACACATTATACACAGTATTGTTTCAAAATTAGCAAATCGATAGACAAACTCTAGGTTAAAACCAAACCTCGTTTTGTTTGCAATCATTCATTCAAACAGAATATTCTTTCTAAACATAAACATAAACTCATGTTTAAAATAACGATTCTTTATTCGCACAGAATATTCTGCACTAAACTCACAGCATATTTCCTTTCATACTACCACATACCATAAACTACCATGTTTATATAATTAAACTTTATACCTAATGTGTAACCATTTATTACAGTTTGCAACGGCTTAGTAAAGGAGGGCGTATGGGGTATAATCGGCTCTCAGTCACCATCAGTGGGCTGGCTACTGCGATCCCTGGCCAATAATCTGCATATACCGCACATGTCAGTGTTCTGGGACTACCGTTCCTATCAACAGAGTTCCGCCACCGGCACCACCAGTACCTACGACACGAATGCCAGCAATTTTACGCTAAACCTATACCCGGAGGCGTCGGCACTTAGCCGGGCGTTCATGGATCTGGTGCTCTCCAGACACTGGAAGTCATTTACACTGATTTTTGAGCAAAATGACGGTAATAATCATACATTTCCCCTCTATATAAACCACTTTTTACTTTATAATATAATATATATATTTCATTATTATATTGTCTTATCTCCCGCTCCTCTATGGCTTAATGTTGTATTTTCTTGACTACTGGGCGGTTAACCTATCAATGAATGCAAACCTATTATTCAAACCTCTATTTTCTTTACCCATTTTAAACGTTTATTAGATTTTTCTTGATATGGCTATAGCTCTGTATATATACACTGTATACTCATATAATGTATTATTTCGCATAATATTCTACATATACTGCTAAAGTAAATGAAGTTTTTGTCTAACAAAGTATGGGCTTTAATCATAGGGATACCCATAATGCCAAACCATATATTTATTTAATACATACATAACTTATACGGCATTTCTCTTTCATAATGTAAACGAATTAAAATTATATTAAATATAATATTTATATACATATCATATATATATATATATATATTCTCCAACATTTCAAGACGTGCTGTCAGTTTATCATATCATTTGCATTAAAAGCAATTTCGGTTTGAATTAAGAGCTTATCTATAATTTAAGATATTTTCAAAAGACAATACATTAAATATATTCTCATTATTTCCTGTTAGTGTGAAGTATGAAAGTATGGACTACTAGTAGTATTCCATGGAAACCCTATGGGCTTAATATAAGGTTATATAATATGTTGAGAGAGAGAGAGAGAGAGAGCCATAACAGACAATTAATATCTCTCCCATCCAATGGAGCGTCAGTTAATCAAAAACTAATACAAATCCCTTTGCTTTTTTAGGCATCCCTCCCTTTCCCCTCCTCAACCAAACTATACATAAGGTTTGCAATACACACACAAAAAAACACAACTATAATACAAAAAAAGATTGATTAGTGGACACTGTTTTTGTTGAGAAACACACAAAAAAGTGCACAAAAGTAGAGTTTTTTAAGATATCAAACATCAAAACAAATATCATTTATTAGATATAATTTCCTTAAAGATCTTTTCAGTCTCTCTCTCTCTCTCTCTCTCTCGCAGTCCAGCCGTTAGTCTGATTTTCATTTATAAATGAGGTCCTAATGACACAAAATTATGTCATTGTTTTCAGTAGGCACTGGTAGCTCATCTATCACACCATGGTTTTCGGAGCCCATAAATAATAAAGCACTTGATTTATATATCATATATTTAGCCAACGCAGCTAGTGAAGTTTATTAAAATGTGTAGATTAGGAGAGAGAGAGAGAGAGAGAGAGCTATTGGAGAGAGAATATATACAAAAATCTCTTGTAATTAGCTTTCAGTAATGATAACACAAAATGAATATTTATCACGCATTTTATCAGTATATTAAATCTGTCAGAAGTTATTTCATCCGAGCAATCGGTTGACACTAAATAGTCTTATCGTTTGTGCGAATGAACACTAAAACTTCCTCTACTTTTTTCTCTCTCCACTACCATTCCCTACCATTCCTCTGCCGACTGAGAGGTAATCCAATTGATATAATCTGTTTAAAACACTCTTTTCTGGACGAGTATTACACGATCTCTGAGTCTCTTTCTCTCTCCTATTCACTCACACAATGGTTTTGCTCTTTGACTCGAGAGAGAGAGAGAGAGAGAGAGAGACGGGAAAACTTTTCTCTCTTCGATCTTATCTCTCTCATGGGTTTTAACATTTTTAATCAATATATGAATAAACGGTATATTATTTCGAGAGACAAAAACACTACTACTCCTAAACGCAACACTAATACAAACATTTGAATAAACTGTGTATATATTCTGTATATAATTTAAACAATTGCTATTTTATTTTATTATCTAATAAAAAAACATTGCTTATTTACTGTACACGCCAGGTCTTATCAGATTAAAGGATCTGCTAAAAATAGCCAGCTACTCGGATATGAGACGGGTGAAAATGTCCATACTACAGTACGACTCCAACTACCAATACGACCCCATATTTCAATACCAGAAAATCCTGAAAGATATCCACAAAAATGAACACAACATCGTGTTAAGTGTATCCAACGATAAAGTCATTCAAATTTTGAAACAGGTCTGTTTTTATAAATAAAAAAAACACAATTTCATATATAAATACATAAATCTATTTATATACACTACAGTATATACATCATAAATTTAACTTACTATTCAGTGTTTGCCAAACAGTTGTGTGTATACTATAAAAATGAACATTAGAGAGAGAGAGAGAGAGAGAGAGAGAGACGGGAAAAACTTTTCTCTCTTCGATCTTATCTCTCTCATGGGTTTTAACATTTTTAATCAATATATGAATAAACGGTATATTATTTCGAGAGACAAAAACACTACAACTCCTAAACGCAACACTAATACAAACATTTGAATAAACTGTGTATATATTCTGTATATAATTTAAACAATTGCTATTTTATTTTATTATCTAATAAAAAAAACACTGCTTATTTACTGTACACGCCAGGTCTTATCAGATTAAAGGATCTGCTAAAAATAGCCAGCTACTCGGATATGAGACGGGTGAAAATGTCCATACTACAGTACGACTCCAACTACCAGTACGACCCCATATTTCAATACCAGAAGATCCTGAAAGATATCCACAAAAATGAACACAACATCGTGTTAAGTGTATCCAACGATAAAGTCATTCAAATTTTGAAACAGGTCTGTTTTTATAAACTACATTTTTTTTGTGTTAAAGTATATATTTATGTATTTAGATAAATATATGTGATGTCATATATGTAGTATTTAAATTGAATGATAAGTCACAAACGGTTTGTCAACACACATATGATATTTTTACTTGTATGAGCTAGTTATACTTTTGTTTTAACTAGTATATATAAATAGTTTGTATGTTATTTGTACTTGATTAGTGACCGTAAAATAAAAGCCTTGTTTTTGCAGGTGTTTAGTACTAATGGGGTCTTAATGTCTAATTAGATGTTTAAATAATTGCCTGCACTTTAGGGCTAGTAGTCCACGGGGTTTGGTATAACTTATACCCACTTTTGGCCACCACTGATACTCTACTATGAATTTAGTAGGAGTTGTGTTTTATATTGTGATTGATTACTTATTTATACAGCCCCTAAAAAATCATAATAATATTACTTATTTTGCTATTCATAGGCGGAAAGGATGAAAAAATTAACAGAATATGATAATTATCTCATAGCGAGTCTGGTAAGTGAACAGTGCACTTTTTTTTATATACGTATAATTTATATGCAAACATATTTTATATTATAGTTTACTTTAGTTAATGAAAAACTCGAGAGAAAAGTGTTTTTCTTATATAATATATTATTTTTCATACATTAATAGCTGTTTTGACTATAATATTACGTATACATTGACTTATGGGAAGCACTTCCAGTAGTATTCATAGCAAACAAAATTGATTTTTATTTATATATTTTTAATAACAAAACTTTTTTACTCTGATATATATACTCTGGAAAAAGTTTTTTTTGTGTTATAAAATCCAACTTTTAAAATGTAAAGTAAAAACAAAAATTTCTACCAACACTTAGCGGACTTCTCACTATAAAAATCTAATTAAATATTTATATACACATGTCTAATATATACTAGACTTTCGCACAAATAAATACAGTATTAGTACTTAAGTGGAAAGTCAATGAGATTTCATACACGCAAACAGTTAGACTGCAAACTGAAAATCAATTTGTATTCATTAATTAAAGCGCTTGTTCAGTTTAGTTTATTTTTTCAAGTTAGCAATGCTAGTATATAATAGTAACTGAACAAAAAAACTACTTTTTTATCATCCTAATACTAAAAAACACACACACTATTCACAAATAGCTAGTGAATAGTTATTTATTAAGTTCATCACTGATGCGAATCAAACAGAAATAAAAGGCATTGCGAATTGCATATAAGGAGCTGCCATTCAGACATGCCTTTCCCCTTTTGCCATACATATACTGTATATACAAAAAACAACTCACATCCCATTGACTGACAGCTCCACTAATGCCTGTATATATTATACCAGCAAAGTGTGTCTCGCTATAATGGCTGAGAAAATAGATTTTTCTATCTATACATCAGAAAGATAAGTGATTTTTTTCATTCACTTATGCTATAGTCTATGGATATATTGAGGGACAGGATGCGCGTAATGTTTGGCCCGCGATATGAGTGTTTGTATCACTTGTTAAGCGCTTAACAGAAATCAACAATTTTTCTCATATCGAGTGCCCACTAATGCTTATCTCAATAACCAATGGCTTACATAGCGTTTAGAACATAGGATTCCCGACTGTTTTATTGAGTCTAGAAATAAGTGGTAAAAACAAAAAAAACTAACCTAATACATTTTTATACCACATTATATACTAGTATACCACTCGATAAAGTCGTTTCAAATCATTTACTCGGTTTGCGGCCTAAATTTTTGATGATATGGCAAATAAGAAACAAAAATTATAGATTTTAAAAATTTATGTATCTGTGTATATTGAATCCCAGTGAATTTATTATATTAAATTTATTTTTTATTAGAAAATAAAATATATCAATACCGATATAACAAAACAAACCCCCAACTCAGCTTTAATATGACAGATAGTAAACTAATAACTACTGTAGTAGTAAAGCTTTGCTGAAAGGGTTATTTTGATTTATCGCTACAGTTATACAGTACTAGTGTTACAATATATTTATATCTAAAGATTCTGGGAAATTTGTTTCACCAGAATAAGAAACATAAATTTATATTCATATTAAGATAAATGCCATTTTATTTTATTATATCGCATAATGTCTAAAATCCGATATTTTGATTACCATGTTTAAAATGTGACTAAAAAATAACAAAAATACAGTTAAAATGAATGCTCCCGCTTTTTTGTGTATAAGTTTTATGTTTAGATTATTTTCTATACACAAAAATCTTTATATTACTTTTTGTATTACGTTTTTTTTGTCGCACTTTTCATGTGAAATGATTTATATTTTAGACTTCAAATTGAATTCGTATTTTTAGTTTTACTTTATTTTGTGATTTCATTACATTGTTATATCGGGTCCTAAAAAGTAGTGAAAATAATAATAAGTGAAAGACTTTTTTGTTTTGTGTTTTTATTTTACTCATAGAAATGGTTGAAATAATAGAAAACTTCTCAGAGAGAGAGAGAGAGAGAGAGAGAGAGAGAGAGACCTACAAAAAGTCGGATATTTATTTTACACAAAAGTTACGCGAGTTTTATATTATAGTTATTTTACTTTTATATTGTGTCCACAAAATTATTGCTAAACGTTTCGAGACTATACTTACAGTAATAAAAAAATTTTGTGAACAAAAAAATAAACTTTTATTTATTTTGTAATTCTAATAGTCAGACACTATTTCTCTCTCAATGGGCTCCAGTTCCCACTTTTAGCCAATTTATATATACGACTGCGAAAAAGGTCACATGAAATCAAATTTTTTTGTGCGAGAATCAAATTCAATATAAAAAATCAATGACTCTGTGATAAAATAAATATATATTTTATCCTATTTTTCTATTTTCCACATTTAATTAAAATCATTTGACACCAGAAACCAGTCGTAAATCTAAACTTTTGATTACAGTATATAAATATT